ACTTACAAAACTACTTCTCACTCTGTTGCAATTAGTAAACAAATGATACTTACAAAACTACTTCTCACTTTGTTGCATTTAGTAAACAAATGGTACTTACAAGACTACTCACTTTGTTGCAATTAGTATACAAATGGTACTTACAAAACTACTTCTCACTCTGTTGCAATTAGTATACAAATGGTACTTACAAGACTACTTCTCACTCGCATTTCAATCAAGCTTATCATTTATATGTTCTCAGTTTTTATTATTTTTCATTAGTTCCAGAAGAAATTGACAGTTTCAAGCTTACCTGATTTAGAAAAAAAAAATCGCTTACAATTTTTAATTTTAAATTCAGAAACACAAACTATATTGTATTAGATTTGGAAACTAATGTGCCTTTAGTTTTTAACTGCGTTTTAACATTTAAATTTTCTAGACGTTAACAGTAAGCAAGTGTGATGATTAATTTCAACAACATTTTCTTGAGCTTCCACTAAACAGCGGTAAGTCGTCGGATTTATAACGATAAAATCAGGGGTTCGATTCCTCTCGGTGGACACAGCAGATAGCCCGATGTGGCTTTGCTATAACAAAACACACACACGCACACTCCACTAAACTAAAAAAAAAAAACTAGGCTTAAGCCCCCAAAAAATTAAGAACAAATGATAATTTATATTTTTTAACATTTACTACATTATATCGACTCTCAACGCCTTTTTTTTTGTCCAGTGACATTTTACATTTGTTTTTTTTTCTTGAAAGTAGCTAAAAGGTTAAAATTGAGCCAACAAAATTATGTACTCGACGTTGCACCCTTTCGAATCAAATGTACGAAACCAACCAATCAATTGTATAGTCCTAAATATTAGTTAAGGCTTAATTTTGAAATGTAATCAAATGAAAAAAAAAAATTAGATTAGGCAATTCTGGACAAAAAAAAACCCCCAACAAACAACAAAACGATTGGAACATTTCATAATTTTGAAATATCCAAAATTTAATATTGATATTTGATTTAACAGAAAGTATATTTAAACAACGGAGTTGCAAACCAAAATGTTATTATTGAATTAGTTATGGTAGACATAATATATATATTTAATCAGTTAAGCATATTATAAATTAAATACTCCAATAAAATTTTCCATCAGATCTGAAGTCTAAAAAATTAAAATTACCACGAAATGTTAGTCGTATAACAAATATCGTTATAATATACATGAAATTTATACATTTCTATGAAATTTTCTAAAGAGGTTTCAAGCCTGTATGGAATTTCTCAAAGATATCTAGTTCACAAAAATGATATCGTATATCTTAGACTGGTAAGAACTTCTACATCACCGAATGTAAAACCATAGAAACAAAGAATGATATCGTATATCTTAGACTGGTAAGAACTTCTACATCACCGAATGTAAAACCATAGAAACAAAGAATGATATCGTATATCTTAGACTGGTAAGAACTTCTACATCACCGAATGTAAAACCATAGAAACAAAAATGATATCGTATATCTTAGACTGGTAAGAACTTCTACATCACCGAATGTAAAACCATAGAAACAAAGAATGATATCGTATATCTTAGACTGGTAAGAACTTCTACATCACCGAATGTAAAACCATAGAAACAAAGAATGATATCGTATATCTTAGACTGGTAAGAACTTCTACATCACCGAATGTAAAACCATAGAAACAAAGATATATATATATGCAAGTTAGATAAGCATTTTAAAGACTATTTCTAATCAATTAAGGAATTGTAAATTATGTATTTATATATCAGGCTCGTTTACTTACCACAAGGTAAGTAAATCCTAAATACGGTAATTCAGTAGATGACTTGTAAGTAAGTAAATCCTAAATACGGTAATTCAGTAAATGACTTGTAAAGAAATAAATCCTAAATACGGTAATTCAGTAAATGAGTTGTAAAGAAATAAATCCTAAGTACGATAATTCAGTAAATGAGTTGTAAAGAAATAAATTCTAAATACGGTAATTCAGTAAATGAGTTGTAAAGAAATAAATCCTAAGTACGATAATTCAGTAAATGACTTGTAAAGAAATAAATCCTAAGTACGGTAATTCAGTAAATGACTTGTAAAGAAATAAATCCTAAGTACGATAATTCAGTAAATGACTTGTAAAGAAATAAATCCTAAGTAGGGTAATTCAGTAAATGACTTGTAAGTAAATAAATCCTAAATTCGGTAATTCAGTAAATGACTTGTAAGTAACTAAATCCTAAATACGGTAATTCAGTAAATGAAATGAGTTGTAGGTAAAAAAAATCCTAAATACGGTAATTCAGTAAATGACTTGTAAGTAAATAAATCCAAAATACGGTAATTCAGTAAATGAGTTGTAGGTAAAAAAATCCTAAATACAGTAATTCAGTAAATGACTTGTAAGTAAATAAATCCAAAATACAGTAATTCAGTAAATGAGTTGTAGGTAAAGAAATCCTAAATACGGTAATTCAGTAAATGACTTGAAAGTAAAGAAATCCTAAATACGGTAATTCAGTAAATGACTTGTGTGTAAAGAAATCCTAAATACGGTAATTCAGTAAATGACTTGTAAGTAAAGAAATCCTAAATACGGTAATTCAGTAAATGAGTTGTAGGTAAATAAATCCTAAATACGGTAATTCAGTAAATGACTTGTAAGTAAATAAATCAATCTTTAGTCAATTAAAAAATAAAGGTGAAAGAAACATTTCTTTATGGCATATACTTGTCTTTCTAATAGCTTAAAAGCAGGTACTTTAGAATTACACAAGGAAATCCCACCGTAATAAGTACCAAGTTTGATGAGTAAGTGGTATACCAGAGTAGAGTATGACGGCGTAGCACTCGCTACACCACAAAATAAAGGTACTTACATTTATGCTCTAATCTCCTAAAGTAAATACTACGTCACGAGAATTTCATCAGTAGCCGTTCCTCTAGGATGCTACGATTAAGTTCATAGTGTGTTAAGGTAACAAGAATGAAGTTTAAATGAACACAACACCGTGTTTAGTGTTGTTTTACAAGAACCTAAGAGGACGTCTCTCTAAAAGAAATATATATAATAAGCTAATCAATCCGTCGATAATATTACACTGTGTAAAACTTTGTAATTCAGCAGTACGCACGCGCGCGCGCACACACACACACACATGCACATAGACTTACGTACTTTGTCTGAAGATACTTTTAGATTTAGTTATTTTTTACTTTGTCCAAGAAAGTCACAGTAATCTGACTTATTTATATTGCTTTAAACATAGCTTATATTTCTATTTTGTGGATTAGTGTTCCCCCTTACGTCTAGAAGTCCCCTTGTATTTTATAGTTCAGGCTTTTGATATGCACATTTCGTTCTCCTTTGTTTCTAAGGGAGAAGGAAAAATGTTCCGTTGTAATGCAATGAACAGTGTCTATGGAATCCTGGAAGGCAGTGAGGTACTGTGTCATTCTTTAGCAAATTCTCTGGGTCGTTGTCAGTAGGTAATCGATGGGGAACTAGAAAACAATTGCTTAGTCTCAAACATTCTAAATTAATTAACCTGTCGAAAGTTATCAACGAGTCTTTGTATGTCAACTGAAAATTAAATTAGAACATAATAAATTTTACTTGAACTCAGAAAAGCGTTTCAAGTCACACGCGTTGTGTTTGTTTGTTTTTTCTTTCAGGTGTCCTTTAAATGACTACACGAATAGCCCATTGTGTAGCTTTATGTTTAGCTAACAAACTTTAAATGTCTATTTTATTCGAACTTTACAACTGATGAACGATTTAGCATGGTAAAAAAAAAACGTTCGTCTAGTTAAACTTCAAAATTTTCCAGTATTGATATTTTCTTTTTACATGGATTAGTTTTTGTCTTGGAATTCTTAACCGTAATGGTCGAAACTGTGCCTAAATGAAGGGAACGATACAAAATATGGATTTCTGTTTAGAGTTCACGTTTTTTTTCTTTCTCAACAAACTAGACTGAGGTAACCATTCCCGTTATAGTTCGTTACTCGTATATTTTATTTCGTTTCCATTAAAAAAAACATACAATAAGTAATTTAATTTTACGACGATCCAGTCGGAATTTATTGAGTACTGGAAATAGCTCAGATATTTTACTTATACATTTTGGACTCTAAATCCTTTTTTTGTTGTTGTTGTTGTTGTTGTTCAAATTGAAATATTTTGTCACATATCTTTAAAAAAAAACTATTCCGATTACCTACTGGTACGATCCTTGATTAAAACGTTTTGTAGTAAATCTTTTTTTTTTTTATGCTTACGTTGTAATTAATCAGTCTGCGCCCATCCGCAGAAAATGTTGAAATCAGCTTAGAGATTAATCATATAAGATACACAGACTCATTTAACTTTATGTTTAGAATGTGTTTAACATATTAACTTCTGATAACATATTAAACTTGTTTTAGAAATTACATATGCTGACGTCATTGATTCTAATAGTTTTTTAAATAGAATACGGTCCTACACTGATAAATCAATTTGGAATGTAACAAAAGTAACAACGTAATATAAACTTTATGGTGGTAAAATTAACATAATTTCAGAGAATATTCCAGACATTTGGCAACAGATTAAAACCATAAAAGTTGTACTATAGTTACTTATTATTGTTTTTTGAAGTTTCCACATTAAGAATAACTGCTAATTCCAAACATTTCTGAGTCTGTTTGGAGTTTTTAAACGTGTTTTATTGGATAGTGTTTTGAATTGATAAAAAGAGCAACGTTTTATACTGTAAAAAAAAATGAAAGAAAGAAAGCTAATTTTATAGACACTATACTAAAGTAATTTGAAAGAGAAACACACTGTTATCGTTATTTCTTTGCAGGGCTCTGCCCCACAGCCTGGTCAGCCTTTTAAATTCACTGTTAGTGACACATGCGACAGAATCAAAGAAGAATTCAACTTTTTACAAGCCCAGTACCACAGGTAGGTTTTTTTTTCTTTGTTTTTAGGCTACATTATAAGTATTTACATGTTGATAAAGTAACTATCCAATTCTGTATTATGAATGATTATTATTGTTCCACTGTAAATATGTATTTATTTTCTATATTGTGTCATACGATTGAAATATGAATGTGGGAAATCAGAGTAAGGTGGCGTCTTTGTAAAAACAAAAATGTGAAATCTTCGGGGCCTTTACAATCATTTACCCAAACTATCATCAACAAATCCAAAATAACAGACAAACATATTTGCCACAGCATCAATACCAGAACAAAATTAATAGAATTTATAAAAACAAAATGTTATAAAGGCCATTACTAAAAGTATTTTAAATGACTGTTAAAAGGCAATTTAAAGATATACCAGGACCGCTACAGAAACGTATTTCGACATTCATCAAGACCACTACAAAGGGT